AAGTTAAAAGTTAAGTAATTAAGTTTAGTTTACGTTTTACGTTTAGTACGTAGTACTACTATAGTATATATATATAGTATAGTTATATATAGTAGTATATATATATATATATATATATATATATATGTTAAGAAAGAGAAGTACTTCTACCTTTTTGCAATTCAAAATAATTATGTTGCAATTAGTTTGAGGTTAAACCATTGATTGACTAGACTACAATTGAATATCAAATGTTTTTTTAGGTAAATGTTTATATTTTATTTTTGATTTCTTCCCATATGATATTACTAACTGTAGTTATTATCATCATTGTATAGTGCAATGAAATGTTTAAAATTATGAAATAAAAAAATTACCTATTTTTTAATTTTTTATTGAATAATTTTAACTCTTTAAACCCATATTTTTTTTTTTGCGTTCTGCCAGAGTTATTTTAATTATGTCCTAATAATTATCACCATATCTTAAGATTTCTGGTCTGTATATAAAAGGTGGATAATAACATGGTTTGGATTAGTTTTCAGCCAAAGAGAAATAAATGTTATCGGACACTGTCACTGATGAGTTTAAGGAGTTAAAAGATTTTTTTTGGTTATATTTGTAATTGTACATCTGTACCTTTTCAGATATAGTTTTTTTTCCCCCTGTTTTTAGTGTTTATTATTCATATTGACACACTTTGTTGGGCTGGGCAATATTATTGTGTAATCAGCAGAGATACTTTATCCTTCACAGACTCACATACTACACTAAGTCTCATAAACTGGGGCAAAGTTTGAGTTATATTAAAAATATTATTAAACCTTTAAGATATTCATTTTAAAACACAAATAACACAGAATTAACTCAAATATTAAAGTAAAACCTAAAAACAATTTACCCATCTATCTAACTAACACTTATCTAGGTGTAAAACAACACTAAGTGCTAGCAAGAAGAAAAGTGACATCAATGCTTTGAGCAGTTTGAAGCACTTAGTAGCAAGTACTGCACCAATTTTAAAATAACCATTGGGAGATAGTAGTTTAAAATGTATTGATTATAAACATGTAATCAATTAAGTACATGTCTTGTAAAGGTGTGTGCCAAGGCTTCTGTCAGGGGTTCCCAAATTAATTTTTTCTTTCTAGGAATTGACCCTAAAGAATTTGAAAGAAGGGTGTGTGTGAACAGTGCAATTAACTTAGTTTCTGATTTTACACAGAAATATAGTGTACATATAGAATTTAACAAGCTACAGAGACCAGAAGTTAAGATTTGTGAGTGCTTGTGGATCATGTGACAACAAAACTAAAGTTTAACAATTTGTTTTAAGGTGTCCTTTGAAATCAAGAAATTTAAAATTTAAATAATATAAAACTTTGAATTATAATGTACATTATAATGCTGGTTTCACTGACATACATTGACAACTAAGTTGTTTAATTATATTTTGAATGTAACTCAGTAAAACCTTGTAACATGCTCAGAAAAGGGTACCTGCAACCTTAGGGTGAAACAAGGCCTGCTCCACACCATGCTTACTCATGGACTATCACAAATAAAGCAGGTAGGGGATCCTTGTTCATCCTCCATGCCTAGTTTAACATCTAGTGCTGGCCTGCTTTTAAAAATTGGGTTTTCTAAGTCCACCATTGTACTTCCTTACAGTGATGTGCTTCTCTGGGTTCCCCAACATGCTTTTACATCCTTTTTTCTTCTAGTGGAACATGGGAGCTCTTGCCACTTACCAGTCCCTAACCACTGGGGTGGTGGAACATGAAGGTTGCCTCCTGAGTATGATTAATTCCACTCAGAGAGTAGGGTGGTGGTGTTCTGTCAATTGCAACTTCTGTACTGTTAGCCAGGCATGGCTGAGAGGTCAATATAATGAAAACAATAAATATATATAGATGTATAATGTTATGAGATTTAAGCTAAACATTAAGTTAATCTAAACATTTGTGTTTTTGTGTTATAATTTGTAGCCTAATTTCCTAATTTTTATGCTAGTTACGAGATCAGTCAAATCGACCCAACGCATACAGAGATACAGTAGTGGAAATAACATAAAGTATAAAGTTTTTTCTAAAAAAAATTTAATAATTATGTGGAGGTTATAAAGATTTTGCACGTGAAATTTGAAAATTTTCTGATGCATGAAAGTATTTTTAATCTTCAAATCAAAATTACTTTCCATGTTGGATAGTCAACATTCAAAAAGAAAAAAGGCATGAGAAAAACATACTTAAGAAATCTTAAAACTTAATAAAAAAAAATATTTTCCATATGAAAGTTGTAATGTTTACTGATAATATGCAAAATTTCATGAAGATATGCTTACTAATTTAAAAGTTATAGCATGAAAGCTATAACAAGTGTAAAATGGTTTAGGTCAGTCCCTGGGACTAAGCCCATGCTGAAAGAATAAAATATAATTGTTTATCTATTTAAGTTCAGTCTGATTTGGTAACATATTTGTGCTTCAGGTGATGTTGTGGCATGTTCTTGTTTTCCTGTAGAATGTGATTGTACTATGTAATGTAGTGACTGAAACGTTCATCAGTATGTTAAACCCTGTATTATGTGATGTGAATGATCAACATATTAATTCTGTAGTTTATTAGTTCTGAAATTCCAGTCAGTTGTAGATATATATAAGTAGATGAATACACTGTTTCATGTTTCACTAGGAATCTGGATTTTAACTGAAAAATTTATTGAAGACAGTCACAGTGCAGGAAGATGGCTTCCAGAGAAAGATTATGAATGGAATGAAGGCCTTGCCTATATTAGGAAAGGGTGTGAAAAAGTTGCCACTTGCTTATTATCTGCTCCACGACGTCATCGATTAGCAAGAGCATCTACAGGATATAAGGCTTTCCATGGGTGGAAAACTGCAGTTTTGTTAATTGAAAAGAAAAGGAGGGTTGTATATAAGAAGTAGGTTTTTAATTTGCAGTTTTGTACTGTTGTCAACCGTGTGGTTGATGTAACACAGTCTTCACAGTATAATCAAAATTGTATAGTTAGAAAAAAAAACTATACATGAATTCATGCTTTTCATGAATTCTCTGTTCACTTACAGATAAAAAAAATTGGGCAGTTTAGGTTTGTCCAGAATGTTGCCAAGTGTATAGAAGGTTTTGTTCTCAAATTATCACTAGAATGGAATTTTTGAGTCTGGAAACAGAGAAATCAGTGGTACCAGTTGGAATATTGGTCTTTTTACTTGATGAAAATCTGTTCATCATATAGAATACTTGTATGCCAGTAAATAAAAAAAAAAAGGCTGCCTTTCATTAGTTTGTTAACAAACTTTATCCTTTCATACAAGAGAAAAACAATAGTCTCTGAGAATATTGAGCATTTAGAGAGGAGGTCATTACTGTATAATAAAAATTTGAGATACTGAATACATATCTCATGCTATAGCAGTTTAAATTTATAAAATAAATAATGTTTAACTGATGCTAAAAGAGCATATCAAGATAATGATAGTTGATTATACATCGTACATTTTGTAATGTGAAAATACTGTAAATTGTGGTGTAGCACAGTAAGTTTTATTCAAAATGAATATATTTAGTGCATGGATAGACACTGATAAATATAAATATTTACCAGTAAACTGGAAACATTGTATAAGCTTCTACTTTTGTATAATTAATACTTAACCTTCAGTACTTGATGAAACTTCATAATCACTGAATTAAGGAATTGGCAGATTTTAAAATTTTCATACACTTTTTATTACTGCCTTTCATTAACTTGTTAGCATACTTTATCCCTTCACACGTTTCCTTAGAATACTGATCCTTTAGAGGGAAGGTCATCAGTGTAGCTAATGGTTTGATAAACTTTTATACTCGTGTAATCTGATTCGATTTCAGGCAATAGAGATAAAAAGCAGGTGTTGCATTTTGCCAAATAACAATAGAGGAAACACTGATTAATGAAATTTTACAGATAGAAAAATAAAATAACAGTTTCTCAAAATATTACAGCTACATGTAAGATTCAATATGTATATATATATATATATATATATATATAATGTCATATGTATGTTTTTATTATATTCAGGTTTATATACATGTTTGATTAGGTCACGTATACCTCTAAAACCATTTTAAATAGCTAAAGATGCAAGTTAAAACAATTGTTCAGTACAACCTAAATATTCAAATTATTTGCATAATTTGACCTTACTTAAATATCTGTTGATGTAGTTTGTTTTTCTCTGATTTAACACGTAAAACACCTGATTTTATAAAAAACAGTTGAGAGTTATTAATTACCTTTTGCTATGCTGTATTTATTGCTCAGAACCCCTTTGAATAGCCAAATTATGTGATCTTAGACCAGTTTTTTGGAGGTGTCTTGTGAATACAGATATTAAAATAATTACATGTGATCAGTATTTCTTCCCTCATGAACACAGGATCATCACGTTTTCTGAGAGTCAAGACATCAGGTTTCAAAGCCACTGGCATGCTAAGGCAGCTCACATTAACTGTATCACAAGTCCCATGTCCTGTTTGGACAGTTCCTCAGCCAAGGACACTAGTGTAATAACTGTCTGCATACAGCTCATTCTCTTTGCCATTGTATGGTATTATCATATTCCAAACAAGCTGTGGATGACTGATACATCATCACCATTGTCATTTCCAACACTTTAATTTTTACCTGCATAGAGTGACCAAAAATCTATCCACTTTTTTGACTCTGGTAATACTGAAGCCTTGAATTCACATTTAACCAGTTTCTTAGGGTTTTACTGGTTCAAAACACTTCACCCTTTGAATGCAATTGCCATTTCATTCAAAGCCAATTCCTTTTTTGGACCAAATGGTTGTGCATATTTGGTAAGTATCATGTCATTTATCATGAATAATCTGTCATGAGAAGAAGCACCTCTGGCAACTTGATTATTATTGTTTGCAAAGTGCAGGAAGCTCGAGATCAATTCAGAAGAAACCAGAAGTGTCAGTTAGCCAAAACGTGTCCCAGCAGTCCTTTATCTCAGGTTTATCGATTAAGCTCATTGAAAGGTGCAAAGCAGAGAATTATTTTATCTCTTGATGGTTCACAGGTACCTATTTACAAAATGGATTACGGCTACGGATAAACTCTGTAATGACTACATAGCACCTTCTAGGCATTAAATGCTCACCTGCTTCTTAAAATCAAATTTCCAGTAAAAATAGTAATTCTACGCCTGTATCGATGTTTTGTAACTCAAAGTTGTAGGAAAGTGGCTATCTTGAGCTCCTATAGGAATGAACAAAGAATATTTAGGAATCAACCACACGTATGGAAATTTTTTGTAGTTTCTTTAGATATTCTTTACATTTGTGAAAATGTCTGTTAAATTATACCCGTTTAAAAGCTACAGAAATTTTTTACGACATCGGGTAAGCTTGGTTAGGTTTAGCAAGTACAGTAGGTGACAGCAAATATTCTAATGACTAAACCCTTAATTTTTAATTATTAATTATTATTAAGTTTATCTTATTCAAACAATACATTCAAATAAAACAACATACTTACTGTGAAGTTTTATTCTCACTGAAATGTTTAACTCTGGTGATGAATAAAGGACCTACTCTTCTAGTATAATATAATATTCATGAATCTGTGAAACATTTTGCTTTTCTTAATGATAAACTGCCATTTGAATGTTAGTTTCAGTGCTCAGTTGCCTAAGGATTTTAAACAGATTCTTCGTTTTTCTCTGAATTAAAAATGTTCATTTCATATAATCTTTTACTTTTTAATAATATTTTTCTTTTAATTTTTTTTCCTAAATAAGTGCTTTCTAAATGCGATTTGTTCAATATTTTCTCTCAGTCACCAGTTTAAAGAAAAATATGTGGCAAAATTATATTATAGTTTTCGATTTGTGCTTCATATACCATAGTCTTTGAAATAGATTTATCCACATACAGTGATTATTAAACAAGAAAGTAACAGAACATGTGTTGCATGCTAAATACTTTGAATATTTGCTTCAGGGCTCAGATGTTTTATAGCTTTATTAAATACCATAGCTATAATAGAACTAACTAATTGGTCAAAGTGAATGTGTGAGAGTTTTGTTTGCTTTCAGTTTGTTGCAGTGTGGAGGAGCTACTTTGATTCCTGTCTCATTATCATGCCCTAATCTTCAGCTTTTAAAAAAAGAGGTTACACATGTCTTTGTTGATCCAGAACAGATTGTATCTGTTAAGTCTCTTCTCAAGCTGCAGATATTGTGTATTAGTCCAGATTACATAAGAAATTTCCTTTTGGTGGTAAGTGAAATTTGTTATAGTGTTTGTGTCATTATAATTTTTATTTCAATTGTTGCCTCGTGTCTTGATGTATCTGTAAGTAAATAAAATGATTTTCAACTTAATTGTTTTTGTTTTGTTTCCAATCGTTCTTGGATTGGAGTTTTTGAAAGTTAAAATTTTATTCCAGATTTACATGTTATTCTGAAATGGTATTTTATTGTTTTAGGATCCCCCTCCTGCAGTGGAGAAATTTCTTATCACTATGTATAAACCCACCAGCATTTTACTGCAAAAAGAAGGAGACAGTTGTGAGGGGAAAAAACAAGATACTGTGAAGTCTCCTATTTCTTCTTTTATTACTCAGGGAAATTTAATTCCTTTGTTGTCACCACTAAAGTCATCACATTTATCTGCTGATAACTATCAAAATAATGAAAAGTATCACATAATACTTCTAAAGAAATCAGCTAAATCTTTTAATGAAGCTAGTTTCGAATCAGTGACAAACCACAATTGTTTGAAAAAACGTAGTTATCCCTTTCTTGATTGTCAGAAAACTGAAAACAACAAAAAGAATAAACATAAAAGTTCTAATGATTACTCAGGTAGTGCATTGTGCAAACAAGTAAAGTCTGAGGATAGTACAACATTCTCAAAGTCGCGTGCAGTTGGGAAAACTTCTAAACCAGGAAATCAGAAAAAAGGTCTTCCTCTCTCCAAGAAAAGTCAAAAGTCTTTGTTAGGATACTTCACTTTACAGCAGCAGTCCAGTATTAGGAAAAGCCTCAATACCAGTTTCCAGTCACCAGTGTCAGAAGACAAAGATGATGATAAAAAGAATCATATTCCTTTAAATAATGTGAAAACATTACCTCCAGGATCTTCCAGCAAAATTCTAGATTATCCAAAATACGTTAAAACTAAACAGAATATTTCTTTAGGCTGTCTCCCTCAGGTAGAAAGCTGTGATAGTAAATATCCTTCAAAGTTTGACTCTATTAATATTCAGAATTTAGAAACAAGAAAAGATGTGATACAAGATTATGTGGCTGAAAATGTTAATTCTGAGAATCCTTGTAAAACGTCTTACTCTGTTAATGATGAAAAATTGACATATTACCGAAATCATCTCACCACTGCTCAAAGGGGTTCAATAGTGATTCCCCATAAAAGACCAATTAATAGTTTACCCAGATTGGGCCAGAAAGTTCCAATTACTCATTCTCCATCATTAGAGAGTTCCACCAGAGCACTGAAACCTAAGCTTGAAGATAAAGTTTTTAACAAAGTGAGTAGGTTTTTACATGTAGTTTCTTTCATTAAGAAATAATTGTTTATAAACTTTGGAGTAGGCTTTTTTAGATTAGGTCTTTATTTTATATTTGTTTTAATAGTAAGTTTACAGAATTGTATTTTGGAGTTGTCTAAGACTGAATTTAAAATTATAGGCTCTACAGGGTATTTTTGTGTTATTATTATCTAAACTTTTTTGTTTTAATTGTGAAGTGTAGATGTAATTGTTTAAAGATATTGATCATGGACATAGCTGTGTAAAGCTTTTACTGTAATGTGTATAGACACGTTGCATCTTTATACTACTTCTCCATTGTATGTATCTGTGCATATAAGTTTTTAACTCTCCAATAATTTTTGACAAAAACAACATGAAATTTTGTATAGAATATAAACAAAGAAAATTGTAGAAAAAGTCATGATGGAACTTCAAAAATGGGGAATAAAAGGGTTTTTGGAGGCTTTCTGTTATGACTGAATCAATTTTGTTGAATTGATATTAACATATAAGGAGCCAATCAGTCTTCTAGCAGTCAAAGGGGATTTGGGGAGGTCACATAATTGGATCCATGAGTTATCATGAAAATTATTATGGACAGGAATTAAAAGCTAAAAATGTGTGCCAGCTGCCTTACATAAATTGCAAAACTTTAATTTTTTCAGTAAAGATGGCTAAGGTTACAACATTTCACAAGTTTTCCATCTTAAAGTCTTATGAGGAAGTTAAAAGTTCTGAGGATTCTATATTTTGTGTATAAATATAAGGGGACCCTATTTTTTTCCAAGGAACAGTTTTGGGGTTTTCTCGGGATTGAATGTGTAGAGTTGTTTGAAAATTGATTAGAACATATAAATGATTATTAAAATGGTGTACAAAATATTTTGTATAGTTTTATCTTCTGTGAATTTTCACGGGTAAGTTACTAGTAAAACTAAATAATTCATACAGATGTGTGTAGACAATAAAACTGGGTGATTAATACAATTAAATCACTTGTATCACAAAAATAATCAACTACTTTTTTAATTAATCCAGTTAACAGAAAACGTTCCATAATGCAGTCCTTGAAACTAGAACATTGAGTCCATCATAAAAAAAAAACTGTCATAAGTGCATTAATCAAGAAAACATCATGAGAAATGTTTTCTGTTTTGAAGAGATTCTTTCAATTAAGTATGCAATTAATACATAAAGGGGGGGGGGGTACAAAACAAATGTCCTTATCAAGATAAAAAATACAAAGTTTTATAATTATTAAATGTTTTATGAAACTGTAAAATTATAGATAGCCTTCCAAGTTAAACCTGAAGCATAAACTAAGATGACGATAAATTTCCATGAAAAGTCAAAGTCATATGATACTTGTTTAAAACAACCAAATTACTATTAAATTGATCAATATTATTAAGCATCTTACAGTATTAACATTTGGTAATTGATTAATCAAGTTAAGCAACCAGCTCTATAAACTATATGGAATAGTTAAGTTTTTTTCTTGTAATTGATTGATCTTACTCTCTTTTTTTATTTTCTCATTATTCAAATGATTATTTTAAATTACACTTAATTTTATATTTGATAATTCAGGAGATTATTAATTTTTTTTTTTTTGTGACTACTTAGTAATGTTAAGGTTGCTGATAGTTTTATGTTGATATAATAATTGATCTTTAAAACGTTTCATCTTACAAATTATTTTAGGTCTCAAGTCTCTCTTGTAGTGAGTTATCGGGTAACTACACTGCTATATTTGAATCTTGTGTTGAGGAAAATGAGTTTGGGAAAGCTTTGAATTTTATGAAGTCTGTTGTGTCAAAAAAGAAGTATCCACAGTTGCAGAGCATAAGTGTGATTTTGTATAATATCTTACAGGTAATTATGTGTTTTATAGGGTGTAAATATTGAATTATTTTGTTGCTATCTGATAGATACCTGAATTGTCAGGATGAAAAATGTACTTATTTTTTTATTGTGACCTTTTGAATATGGGAACTTGTGTCATAAAACTAAGTGCGTATTATTGAATCATATTAAAAAGAATGTGCATCAGGTGAAGAGTTTACACATATGTAATTGAGCACTCACGTGTATGAAATAATCTTATTCAATAGTATGCATATTTTGCAAACAATAATGCTTTCAGAAAGACGGACTGCTTCCCTTGAGATTCATTGTTATGGTTTTAGGAGTCTTACTCACTGCCCTCTAATTCATTAGATTTGACTTTCTTTTATTACTGTAAGGCATCTTTACCTATATAATTAATATGAACTTTTGATCAGAGCATACTAATTATTTAGCTAACAAATAAAAATCATACAGTAATGGGCATAGCTAATTAGAAATACTACTCTTACATTGTTACTTCTAAAGATTAGAATGCATTGTTTCAGCAGTTGGATACCCTGGATGTAAATGATATAAACCCAGTAATATCTTGCAAGGTTCAGCCAGCTTAGGAGATTATTCGAACAATACAAAATAGTCTCTGTGATAAAAATTTATAAATTAAATACATTAATCAGTGATAGTAACATTAAAGAAAAAATAGAGTACACCTTATTTATAAACACTAGTTGTTAGCTTCAACTATTCTTTTTGATTTAATGTTTGCTGAACAACTTAACATCATTATAACTATGTATAAGCAAAACTGTATACTTCCCAGCATTGTTTTGTGACCAAAGAAAACCCATTAAATGGCTACAATAGTGGATCATGAGTGTAAATTACTATGATATATTACTGTTTAGCTGTAGAGTTGAATATTAGAACAGTACTGAGTACAGCAAACAAAAACTGATGTTTATGAAAGTATGAAATAATAAGTTAAATGAATACCTAAGTTGTACAAAGAATAGCTAGAATGTTGCTATGGTAATTAAAATATAATCATGCTAAAGATAATTCAAAGAAAAATAATATATTTAACTATAAGGTGGATCTAATCACAACTAACCTGATTTTAATCTCTATTACTTGAATAGTAAAATGCTCAGAGTGGGCAACAGGAAGTAACAAATAAAGTTAGGTCTTAAGTAACAGCTGAAAACTAAACATGATAATATTCAAGAAAACTTAGTAATAATAATAATAAGACTTAGAAAAAGAAGCAACAGCAATGGATAATATAGCAATGATATGATGTTATAGTGTATGGGGAATTGTTTTGTAGCCTGTATTAACTATATGGAATAAGAGCTTAAACTAACAGGAGATAAAACTAATAATGGTTCTTATACAATAGTGGTTTTTAAGACATTGAAGCTAAACATGAAAGTTTTGAAAAGGTTATGATATTCTGTAAAACATTTAAACTTATAATTGGTACCAAAAATATTGTTGAATGTCCCAAAAAATTTAATGTATTTGGGGTTTAAAATGTGGTAGGAGAAACCTCATTAAGAGGGCCACATTAGTTCAATAGTATCATCATATTAAAGAAATTACATCTACCATAATATTGTATATATTACCACAGAAATAGCCAACTGTATCATATCAACATTTGTATGATGTGGGGCAGATCAAAATGAAATATACACACACACACACACACACCATTAAACCTAGGATGGGTACTTAACAAATAGAAAAAATTTGACGGACATAACACAAACCTCAATTATTGTTTTTTTAACTCTGGGAGATAGTCTAAAATTTTGTTTCATTGTCTATTTAAAACAAATCGATATTTCTTTTTTTTTAGACAAATAAAGAATCTTTCACTAATAGTTCTTAAAAGTTTTTTCATCATAACTTTGGGTGTTCAGATTAAAACACTTGTATATGTAGTAGCATACTAAAGATTTGTATGTTGGATTTTGAAATAATCTGTTATAAATAGGTAACCACAGAAAGAAAGATTGCAATTTTGGCATATCAGATGTTGTCAGAACTTCTTTTTCTTCATCCTCCTGTCACTGACACAATGTCTTCCTATTACCTTAAAGCTTTCTCTCTGAAAGATCATCAAGAGGAATCACCATGGAGACTGTTATATGCAATTGTGAGGTTAGTTTCTTAAATTTCTAATGGAGTTGATAAGGAAAAGTTTTAACTGGAGGCTAAAAGTAATGTAGAATAACATAAAACTTGGCTATTTGTGTATATTACTAGAAATACTCCTTAATTGGGATTATTATGATCTTTGTCATCTTAAAGTAGCAAAGACAGAGCAGCTGAATAAAAGCTTAATTCTGATATCTTAAATTCAACTTAAAGTAAGATGATCTTAGCCTAAGAACTAACAAAATATTAATTAGCAAGTTCAAATTGGGTAGTCTTACCTCTTAAATAATGTCTTGTTGATTTGCATTCATATAGTCAGTAAAACATGCGATTCAAATATTCTGACTGCTTTTTATGCATTGCAGAGCATGCATCACTTTCATGTAATTCTTCACTCTCCCAACTTCCACATGATTTATTGTGCATGCATCATGGGATCTTAAATAAGCTCTACTTTTCAACTATAATTCAGATTTTTTTGTTGTCAGTCATGCTTTTCATCATTTTTTTTCAGCAAGTTCATTTTATTTCTGAAGCTAATACTTCAATTAAAGCTTAATTCTTCTAATGCTCTTGTTAATGATAGAAACTTTTCTGCCTCTTTTGAAGCTTTATTTTAGCAGTTCTGTTGTGCAGGAAGGCCCTGTAGCGGCATTGTCAGCCCTTATTAGCCAGTGTGTTTGGGCCATTAATGCAGAGTCTTTTGTGATGGGTATCTTTGGCCAGAATTATGTTATTCTGGATGCCAATTTAATAGGTTACCACTCTCTTTGTTTTGTTTTCATGAACAACAAGTTATTTTGCACAGGTTTTTTCAACTTTGTCTGAAGAGCAAGATGCAACTTCTGCTGAACTTTGTTTTCCCAAGTATGTAACATTTTACATCTTGAACCTATTTATGTTACATCTGAGAGGGTTTAATGTTTGGTTATTTTTTTGAATTTCTGTTTCCTCCTCTTCCTGACCATCGAGTTATGGTTGATGCATCTAGAAATAAAGGTAATTTACAAAAAAAAACATTTGCCACATATTTCTCACTTCTTTGGTCTGCTCAGTTGTTATTTTAAAGTTTAGACTCCCCAGATTTTTTGATTTTTTTTTAGGTAAGTGTCCACATGGTCTTCCACAGTGTAGCTTACACCAGCTTTGGTCATTACTTATGCTTATTTTACAACTTTCTTTCTTAGCTCACTTATTAGCTGTCAGCTATTCTCTTTCCCCAGCTTCTTTTTTTTTCAGGAGCTTTACATGTTTCTTTTTCCACAACACTTACTGACACATTACTTCAGGTCATAATCCTACTTTTGACAATCAGTTAATCAGAGCCATCCTTGTGCATTACCTGCTTCTTCTTCTAGTATTACCAGTCTTCTGCTTGGAATTCTTCTCAGTAATTTTGCTCCTTTCAAGTTTCATAGCATAGAAGCAAATTGGATGGGCCTTTTTGACCCACACATTTATTTTTTCCTTTCTATGCATATCCTCTTTGCAATATTTTTGGGAGCCATATAATATCCTTTCTTTATCTGTGGAACCTTTGGATTCATCAATTCTCCAATTCAATTTTTCTACCCATTTTTATCAGCTCTTACATACAATTACATTTGTATTAAAATTTTGGATCAGGACATTTTAAATATTTAACAAGTTTCCAAGGTATTTATTGTTGTCTTTTCATACTGCCAAAGAAATCAGGAAATTGTAGACTGGTATTACATCTTTCCTGTCTCTAATTATCTGGAAATTCCAAGTATCCAGATGAAAACTGTAAGAGTATTATGAAAGATTTTGTAAGATTTTTGGATGATGAAAGGTGACATTTATTTACAAGACACAAGTCATCAGTCTTCTCAACATTTTTTTTAGTTTTTACCATTGGGGAGCTGTTTATCAATTCACTGCACTCCATTTCAGTCTGGTTTCAGCATCTTATGTCTTCACATGTGTAGGCAAAGTATTTGATTGTCTTCTACACACACACACACACACACACACACACACAATCAATTTTCATCAGTATATTGACAATAAGATTATTCTCTTTCAGTTGTCAATTCAGTCATTGACTCATACTAATTTAATTAACCATCCAATTAGCTTTCTTTCTGAGATGGATTATCCAATAGCCTAATTCTCAATTTGTTCTTACTCAATATTTGGCTCTGAGATTTTGGATGTAAACTTTTCAAGGAGTTATTTACCTGTCTCCTTTGGCTTTACAATCCATGGCATCTTGGGTGTGCCTCTCTCTTTCCTTTCTTCCATCTACCAGAATATATTCTCTGATTTGATGATGATGGCTTCTGTCAATAAGTTTTCTCTTGGGTTGTGCTCACATGAGACATCTTCAATGGGATCTTGCAGTTCAGTGAAGTCTATCCTCAGACCCGTTGTCTCAGAGGTTTTCCCTTTCTCCTGATTACTTGTAAATGTGGCTCAATCAAGAGAGTTTACCACTATAAGTTCCCCTTTTTTCTTTCCACCTTTACCAGATATTGATCTTTTCATACATATTTCTCAAGGGCTGAATTGCTGTATTTGAGTAACTTTGTCCTTCAGACTTGTTTTTCTCCCCAAGGATCCCTTTCTCACATCAATCATTATAAGCTTTAGGCACATCAACATGGGTTAAAAAGTTTCTACCCATGTTATACCACCACTGTGTTTTACTTCACACAGACAACTCTACTGATGGTGTATATCACCAGTTAGGTGGAACTAAATCTCTGTCCAAAGCTTCCCTACCATAGGTTTTAGCTGGGAGAGGGAGTAACCATTGCTTTACCCCTGTTGTGTTACCCTGATCAACCCAGATTCTCATTCCAAAGAATGAGGGGCTGTTTGTTTATACATTATGATGAATCTTACTCCATCCATGTTATAATAAATTGGCTTCTGCAGCTTGTCTGTATTTTCTGTCAAGATAAACCTGACACCTTCAGTATGAATTTTGAGTTACATCTCATGAAATTTGCCATTTGGTAATGTCTTCAGCTTCCTGGTCTCAGTGCCCTTTAGAGCACATATGAGCTTACATATGGATGAATTTAGATACTTTTATTCAAATTTATCTTCATCACATTGCTGTCTCTTCAGCTTCAGGATTCATTTTGCTGCATGTGGTCACTCCCCAAGTCAAATGGAATCCATAGCAAGCGAGTTATTTTCTTTTCTGTCCAACCCCACTGTTACACATTTCTAGGACATCTGGGATTGTTGGATGTTAATATATATATAGCAATTATAAAAATAAAATAATATAGTCTCTTCACTTACGAAATTGTTTGTTTACTTAGATTTGTCAGTCAGGACTCTCGCATGTTCATTAACCTCTGCATTTGTCCTTGATGCATTTCTATCCCCTGCACCATGGCTTCATAAGAGGGTATTGTCTTTTGCAAATGAACAAAGAGTGCATGGTATCAAATCATGAGTGGAAATTCATTCCTGGTGAGATTTCTGTGGGGAAAAGATAATAATATATATAACTTATTGTTGTCTTTATTGTAAAGATATGCACTTAAGGAACATCTACACTAGTCCAAAGCTGTGTAGTCATGTGAAAGAGGGAAGGGTATTTTCATTTATTTTTTTTTATTTGTGACACGTGGCTAAAATGAAACAATCGTATGTACAGCATGTATGTGGTTTCACTTCATCTGGTCATCATGAAAAATTTGTCTTTCCATGGATGGGTATCATTGAATGTCTTTTCAGCCTCAAGATCTCTAAATATCTGTAGTCTTGGAAATTAGAAGGTTAGCAGTACCCATAATGATGATGTCATCTGATGACTAATGATGCCTCAGCATGTACCTTCCTACCTCTACATGTCCTTGCCTGGCATTAGCGGGCCTTCAAGCAAACCTGTAAAATCTGTTTTTCAGGAGCTTAACCTTTCAAACCTGTGTAAGTGCTCAAAGAGCCTGTAATAGCCCATAACGGTCTTTTTTTTTTAACATTTCTGCATGTAACAAAATACATATTTACAGAAATGGAATTGTTTGCTCTTCATTCAAAATGTAAAATTCAGTTCAACAAAAGAATCTGCAAGTGGCTGCTTCAGAGACATCATGGATGGGAGCTTAAGGAATGTGTTCTTTAAAGCATATTCTCAGTTACAAGGTGAAAATAATAACCCATAATTGTTTTGTAGATGAAGGAACAATAACTGGGTTTGAAATATATATATTTGGTTCTATCAATTGTTATATAACTCATTAATAAAAGAGATTTTGCTACGAATAGCCTGTATTTATGTCAGTTTCATTCTGTACTTTGTAAAATGCAGTCTTTATTTTAAAGGATGACAGCAGTAGTCATTGTTGGAGGCCTGTATTAGAACTACCTGAAATGGGATGCCAGTTCACATTATCTTTCTTAGCTTTAACCATGTTGGGGATCATCTGTATTTTTTTGTCTCATTTGATGTTCTCAAGTTGCTGAGTTCCACTCTTAGAATAGCTTATGTCTTTATTTAGTTCTTCCTGAGTATCTATTACTTTAGTCAGTTTCATAACTCATTTGCCTTTTTAGCTATGGATGAAGAGGAAATACAGCCCTTGGAGTATGTTCATTAATAATACTTGACTGAGTTGCCACCATCTATGTTCCCATTGTTGGCTTTACAGGTACATTAAACCATTACCACCCTCACTTACTCCCTTTTTGAACAAAAAGAAAGGCATCAAAGGCAAAGGTTTCTCTGCTGAGAAAAATGCCTTTTTTTTTCTAAGTTTTCATAGGTTCAGTCCCTATAATGCTGGTCTGTTTTACTTATTCTCCTAAAAATCCATATTGTACTCTAGATCAGTGGTTCCCAAACTTTAACATCCCATGAACCCTTTTTATAAAAATGCCAAATATTGCAAACCCCATCCTAAAAATAAATATTTTCCACGTATTTTCTCCCTTATCTGGGTATAAATTATAAAAAAACATTGATTTTGGAAATATAAAATTTGCTCTTTTTTTTTATGACACTTTTATTACACAATATTTATTATTATGATATCATTTATCATTACGTTATTAATTTTATTACATTATGAAAACAACATTCTTCCAAGATTTCACTTTCATAAGTTGTATTACTTTGATTAATCCTAAACATGTTATTCATCTTAATTTTAAAAACAACACTAGCAGTCTATTTGATTTTAAAAACAGCAAAAAATACCCTCCTCACCTTTCAATTTCTCATGTGGAGTCTTGAAGTTATAATCTACTCAGTGTGATGGATGTGCTTGCTTTGACTTGCTTAGCTCTTGGAAGTCTAAAACCACTGAAGAAAGATAGTCTCGGGTCTGGTTCTGCATTGAGTCTGCTTCTGTATTTGGTTTTCTTACGTAAGTGTGTTGTTGAAAATGGTAACAAAACTGTAGTAGCTTTTTCTGCCAGCAGAAGGTACTCATTTCTTAAACTTAGTCAGAAGTGCACAAGGATTTTGCCTCTTGAGAGCCATCTAACTTCAGTATAGGTCAACAGACAATTGTTTACATTACCTGTTTCTTCACAAAGTGCCTGAACTATTTTATAATTTGTTAGCTGTGATTTTAAGAAATTCACTATTTTCACTGCATTGTCCAGCACTTACATCAGTCCCTCGGGCATGCATTTTGCCACAAGAGCTTGTCTATGGATATTGCAATGAGTCCAAGAAATGTTTGATTCAACTGTTTTTGCTGGAGCTACAAATCCCTATCATTCATTTGGCCCCATTAATGCAGATGCCAAGGGAATGAAACCAGTCTATTTCAGTTTCTTGGCATTAGCCAGATTGGAAGATATCTTGTATATTCTTTCAATCAATTGATTCATACAACTGTATAGCATAATATGGACAATTTTTCACACACTGTTTAATTGTGGTCTCTACATTACTTGACATGTCATTAATTCTCCATGATGAAGTATTATTGGATAAAGGTACCATGTCGATCTTTTTTTTGCAACCTTTTCTCCAAACATGCACTGAACTACATTTTATACATGGATCAGTCAAGCTCTCTGCTATGGTATGATCTTCTGAAACTTTTTGCTACATGGTAGCTCACTCGATACAATGCATCAAGTGCATTTTAGTTTTCAGTACTTTCTTTGGATACAAAACTGGTAATGTTACTTTTTCACATGATTAACTTTGCTTCAAAAAATCAGACTTGTCGAGTTGTGTGCAGTGCCTAGTTTCTAAGTGGTGCTGAAGTAGAGAAAGTTTGAGGCCGCTGCTTGCTAGGACATGGCTACAAATTACATACCGTGGCTTTGGGCACACTTGATCACTAATACACATAAAGCCATA